ATTTCAGAACACTTCGATATACTGCACTTAAGAGATTTAGTGTGAAAATGGAAAATTATTTCATGCAATTTTTCCATAAATAACGGTTTTTATGAAAATACATCGACTTTACAGTGGCCATATAATTAAAACATTTTGTGATTTTTTACTTTACTGCATTTTTTTAAAATATTTTTTAAAAAAGCTCTTTAATTTAGTTACATTATGTAAACTAAGCACCTATAAAATCATTTACTGATAAAAATTTTTGAAAAAATCTGTAAAATCTATCAAAATTGTCAAACATTTGTACAGTACACCTTAGATTCAGAAAATAACCCTTATTATAGAAAATAAAGTTCCGAATGCACCAGAAATTGCTAGAATTAGTAGAAAACTATAAAAAATTCTCAGAATAAATAAATATTTGAAATAAAAACTGAAAAAATGGGAATTAACCTAAAACAACGACTCAATTTCGATAGCCTTTATTGAAGAAGGCCGGAATATTTTTGCAGTATGTGAGGGAATATCGATTGATATTGGCATTCATTATATCAAATCGATTGTTCGAGTAGTACAGAATATATTTTATCAAAAAATATATCAGTCACAACAGAACGAACAGAGATCAACACCTATGTTGACGAGAAAACGTTTCTGGTACACAGCAGCATGTTTGATGGTTAACTCTTGACCCTTAAAATCTATTGAACATGACAATATTTTTCCAAAATAATATTTTTTGAATAGAATAATGTCCATTTAATCTATTTTAGCCTAAAAGAAAGAACAAAATTTCAATTTGACAAATATTTAAAGTCTTGTGTTGAGCATCAAAAATGCTGCTGTGTGGCAGAAACTTTTACTCGTCAACATAGGCGTTGATCTCTGTTCTTTCTGTTGTGACTGGTATATTTTTTGATAAAATATATTCTGTACTACTCGAACAATCGATTTGATATAATAAACGCCAATATCAATCGATATTTCCTCACATACTGCAAAAATATTCCGGCCTTCTTCAATAAAGGCTATCGAAATTGAATCGTTCTTTTAGGTTAATTCCCATTTTTTCAGTTTTTATTTCAAATATTTATTTATTTTGGGAATTTTTTATTGTTTTCTACTAATTCTAGCAATTTCTGGTGCATTCGGACCTTTATTTTCTATAATAAGGGTTATTTTCTGAATGTAAGGTGTACTGTACAAATGTTTGACAATTTTGATAGATTTTACAGATTTTTTCAAAAAATTTTATCAGTAAATGATTTTATCGGTGCTTAGTTTACATAATGTAACTAAATTAAAGAGCTTTTTTAAAAAATATTTTAAAAAAATGCAGTAAAGTAAAAAATTACACAATGTTTTAGTTATATGGCCACAGCAAAGTCGATGTATTTTCATAAAAACCGTTATTTTTGGAAAAATTGCGTGAAATAATTTTCCATTTTCACACTAAATCTCTTAAGTGCAGTATATCGAAGTGTTCTGAAATAAAAAATTTTCAAAAATACTTCAAACGAATCGAGGGCTGATCAAAAAATGTTTACCACAGTAAATGTTTTAATTCTGTGACCACCACTGTATATAGAATAATGTCCTTCTTTAAAAGAGAGCTGCACTTTTATGATAGAGCTGGAAAGCAACATGTCTTAAATAAACAATAAAGACATTTGGTCTGTTCCCGTACTGCAAGAATCTACTAGATTTTACTATTTTCTTCGATAACATAAAAGAAATTTCGTTATCGTAGTAAAAAGTAGTAGATTCTTGCAGTACGGGAACAGACCAATTTTCAAAGAAAATAATAACAGATTCATATTTTTACTTTATTTTTTAAAAATCTTTTGGTTTTGGCATTTTTATTATATAACCTCAGCTTGAACGACTGGCACTGGCTCGTTCGATTGGAGAGAACATTGGGGCGGTGTGGGAGTGAGGTGAGGAGGTTAACCCGATAAAAAGTTGTAATGTATATGCCGTTTGAGGGTCTATTGGTTTTCATTTTCAGGGTTGTATAAAATAGTATGGTGTTTTCGTGCGTTGTTTAAAGTTAATAACGCAGGAATCTTCATTTCAAGTGTCAATTCCATTGCGTATACGTCACGTTAAAGCTGATTTATATATAACATTTAATCGTGGTTGAAGGTTGTATCAGGGTTTATTTTGTTAACCAGGCTAAATTTACCATGATTTATGATACAAATATAAATCATCATGCGACATTGTGTATTGATACTACTGAGATGCAACGCGGTTTTTGTACGAAAAAATACAACTCTCTCACAATGTACCAAAATTTGCAACTGTTTTTACATGATGTTTGGTTTTATATTTAACGGTTTCCAAATGTAAAAATTAAAAATCTTGTATAATTATAACTAAGGCGACCAGATTTTGAAAATGAAAATAGATGACAAAAAGAGAAAAAATGTATTTTATTAAAAAATAGTATGTTTATAAAACTTACATTTTGATTTGCTTATAAATGTATAAAACTAGTTAAAAAGTCGTTAATTACGACCATGTCAAATTTTATGTCATAAGCCATGGTATAATAATAGAAGGTAACAGCAAGTGTTGTTGTACAACAAACGATACAACAACCACATGGAAATTTGTTTTTGTAAGTTATACTGGTGTCAACGTCATTTGACAGAAAAATGTAAACAAACAAACCAATTATCAACAAATTATAGTTCCGTTCCAGAACCTAAAAGAATCTACTCATGTTACATGTTTTGCAACTTTTTACTCGAAAACCGTTCCTCAATCCACAAAACTGTTAAACATTGAATCAAATTTAAGAGAGCACAAAACAAAATGGCGTTCTCTTTGTAAACTTTTTACTCGAGAAATTTGGCCGAGTAAAAATGGTAAACATGAATGCCTACTTCTGATTGGCTGTTATGTTGATTTTGAAGTATTGCCATCTAATTTTGGCATATTTACTAGATTTGCGTTCCCAAACTTTTCAAATTATTTTGTACACTGAGAGCAATTTTAAAATGTTTCCGCTTTACTAAATTTGCTATTAAAAAAGTACTGGAACAGACCATATATTTATTTTGAAAATTTAATATTTTCGAATCCTCAAAATAAAATTCTATCCACATCTTTCCTAAAATTGAGCCATTGCCACTGCGAGTTATTCCATGAAGAAAGATTTGCTTCCTCAAACTTTCCCAGCAGGCAGATTGAGTAAATTGAATAATAAAGAAGAATTTCGAATTGTATGCGTTCCAAATTTTCCTGTTGGATGATTTTTAAAAACATAATTTGTCATATTCATATTGACACTATTATTACGTTGAAATCAAATCAGCTGGGTTTTGCTGTTACCTTTTATAATTGTACCATGGCCTGAAATCAATGGTCTTCGACAGTACTGTCGCTTGTAAACGGGGGGTAATACTTAATAAAAATTGGTCTAAAATGTGGTAAATTTAATAGAGAGAAAATCGAAAATAAATAACATGGAAAATATTTCACTCTCTTTTAGTAAAATTATTAGTTAAACCTCTATAAATAATTATTTTTCAAACAATGTGATTATTTTAGAGTTATCTAGATCGAATTTTAAACAATTTCATCGAATAATTTGAAAAAAAAACTAAATCGATTTTATTCTAATTACGATTCGACACCGATGCCATGTTACTTTGGCAACCCTTCTCAAATGTCGATTAAACGATTAGTCCAACATCGGCCTACGTATCCCTAGTGCGTTCTCCATTTTTACTTGTGCCGTATAAGAAATTTTTAAAATTTGTACTAAATTCACAATATTTTCAGGAAAAATATTGTGTTTATTGGCCAAGAAAACGAAATATAATGGCTCGGTTAACATAATTTAATGAAATTGTGTTGAGTTGTTGGCTAGAAAACGCATAAAATCATCGATAAAACCACAAAACGAAAAAGTACACATATTTTTTCTCTCTGCGGACGATATTTCTTATTACACTTTTTGATGCTGTTTCGTAGCCGTGCGCTGTCGTTGCTGCGGTCGTCGTCGTCGCCGCTGTTGTCACGATAAGAGAGGCAGAAAGGCAGGCAAGCAGCCAGTCAGTCAATTTTGGTTTTTATATTTTGCACCACCACCACGCCGTTTTGGCGTTTGGAGTTCAACCCGGTTTTTTTCTGTCAATTCTTTGCGTCCACAATAAATTTTGTGTGTCGGGGAAAAAAGAGTGGGAACTGGATGCATGCATGGTGTTGTGTGCGTTTTCGTTTAATTTTTCATATTGCCAATTTCATGTGTGGAGGAAAAAGAAAATGTGAAAAGTGTGTTTCGAAATAATAATAAAAAAACAACAACAACAAATAGTTAATGGTTTTAGCCGAACCAACAATAAATAAATGAAAAATTGTACATAATAACTTATTGACAAATAAAGAAGAAGCAGGAGCTGCAGAAAGCAGCAGCACCACCACCATACATAACACACACATTCTTCGCTTCGTTTCAAGAAAACAGCGAGGAAAACATAATATTTCCAATAATATTTTCATTTGCGTCCCCGATTCCCACATTTCATCGTCGCATCCATCTTCCGGTTATCGGTTTGCTGTGTTTGTGTTCACTTCATTTGTAATTATTACTTAGGAAACGTTTACACTACTACTTAAGGGTGACAAGATGATGTTCACAGTAAGTTGGTTATAAATATTATTGCATTACATTAATTTGTTATTGTTATAAGTTTGTATATACACATGTATATATTTGCATATTTTAAGTATTTTTATTGGTTTCGAATGGTAAAAGAGCAAAAAAGGAACACGTTGAAGATATTCAATGGGGCATACATTCTCAGAATGACCGCGAATTTACGAATCATTGATGTGGGAGACAAACATTTGCATAGTAGTAACCTGTTATGTTTTGAGGAACATGTTGTGGTTTCTGCGTTATTGTCTTGTCCGTCTGATAACAAAAATATATGACCTCTCTGGTAGAAGTCCATACTTCCCGAGATATTCGCTTCTGAAATTCCGAAAATGTATATTCTTGTATGTTTGTAATTTATGGACCGATGAAGGTAGTATGGTATTGTCTTAAAGATTATACTTCCAAATTGAATCTCATTTTTAATTAATGTTTTTCAAAATAGTCGCCCTGGGATTTGGGATTTCTCCTCTAAATAGCCATCGACTGTAAATAAATGGCGAAATTATTAGGTTGGGGAAAAAGAAATCTATTATTTTTTCGGCAGAAAATGTCGATAACATTGGAGAAATTATTGAAGTTGACCGGCATATTAGTAGTCGTAACATCGCCCAGGAGCAAAAAGTCGAACATAAAACTGTTTTAAACCATTTACACAAAGCTGGATTCCAAAAGAAGCTCGATTTTTGGGTGCCACAAAAAATTAACAGAAATAATTAACGATCGTGGTCAAAGAGCGGTGATGCACCTCAAACAGTGGCCAAACTAGAGCTTCCATATGGCCAAACGCTAAGTTGTGATCTCTACTGTCAACAACTGGACCGTTTGAAGATAGCAATTGACCAGAAACGGCCAGAATTGGCCATTAAGAGAGATGTCGTGTTCCACCAGGACAACGCTAGGCCACACACATCTACAGTGAGTGACTCGCCAGAATCTTCGGGAGCTTGGTTGGGAAGTTTTAATGCATCCGCCATACAGTCCGGACTTGGCACAAAGCGATTATCATGTTTTTCTTACATTGTAAAATTTATTTAATTATAAAAAATTGGTATCTAGGGAGGATTGTAAAAATCGACAACTAGAGTATTTTGCAAATAGCGAACAGGACTTCTATGAGAGAGGCATTACGAAGTTACCTTCAAAATGGCAACAAATCATACAACAAAACGGAGCATATCTGGCCCAAGTCGGAATTCCGAAGCATGTTAAATAAAGTCATATAGTTTATATAAAAATAATGGATTTATTTTTCCCCAACCGAATATACAACATGCATTTTCGATCAAGAGGAAGAGACCTGAATCCCCTAACTTAAAAGTAAGAAGATTGTGACAGAGGTGTTAGAACACTTGCTCAGCTAGTTAGCAAATGTTTGTTTTTTATTTAAGTGGAGAATAATTAAAAATGAGACCCATTAGGACCTAAATATCGGTGTTGGCTGTCGTTATCATTTGCCCATCGCTGGACGAAGACCAGCCACCCACAAAAACTATTATTTTATTGATTTGTTTTAAAAAGACACCAATATGGCCATGGTCAATATTAAATACAATGATACAGTTCGAAGGTACTTACCAAACTTCGGAGGCCAATATGATAGGAAGTTTAGATTTCTTCGATAAGATAACTACATTTTTTGTAATGATGACTTCGATCGATTTTAATTGATACTTATATTGCTTTATAGAATTTCAAAACCCGTGGGAAATGTCCACGGGAAATTTGTAGGTCTATATCTTCGGAAGTTTGGATTTCCGCTAGAAATATTTGTAGGTCTATATCTTCGGAAGTTTGGATTTCCGCTAGAAATATCGTTGCAAGCAGGGCCCTTGGGACTATCTGTAGTAAAAATTTCAAAACGAAAATTTAAATAAACCTTGATTAAGGATACATGAGCATTTTCAAGCTCATGAAGTCCAACCACATGTTTTTTAACCATCAGAACAATATTTCGTAACCTGTCAAAGCTCCGCGGCCTACACAAAACATCATCTTATCGAAGCGGAAATAGTTTTCACAATTTCAAATAGTATCAGATGGCCACCTACCTTTTCCCCCTTACCTTAAATGCCGAAAGCCCAAACCCAAAGTTGGATAGGTTAAGGGATGTACGGCTGTCTTAACAGCCGTTCACTCAGAGACATATGTATTGTGCTCATCCTGGGTACCGAAGTTTAGAAACAGTGTAGAAAAACTACTTGCTTTAGTCATATCAGAGTTTTAACAAAGCATAGGATCTGCTTGGTGTCTGCTCCGGAGAAGAATGCTAGATTATCAATTTCATATTTACCAAACAGACGGTGTCTTCTGCCACTTAGCGATGAACACCTTCAGAGTATTTGTTTAACTGCTTCCAGCTCTTCCTCACATAGACTGCAATAATCCACTTCATTAATGTCCACATTTGGAGGTGAGAGATATAATTCTGCAGTGAACTGTTATGATCCCCCAACGATTTAAACCTCACTCTTACTATGAGAAAACAGCGAAGAAGTTCTACGGCGAGAGAATTCTGGCCTGATGGTTTTTGAAATCTTGCATTCAGGTTCTGTTGATCATCTGTTGCCGACTACCTCGCAGTAGCTGATACGGATTCTGCCAATAAAGTAGCCAATAGGTTGTACAGATCCCTCAATCGGTAGATTGGAAGACTGCGAACCCTCCTTGAGCAAACTCATCGGCTATCTCATTCCCTTCTATGTCAGCAGGTCCTGGAACCCAACATAATTTAACTATCCGTCGTATATCAAGAGCATCCTTGCATTCACGAACTGCTTTTGAATTAATAGTACACGGCTTGAATGCCTTAAGGGCCGCCTGACTATTGACTTATATAGTCACCGGTCCTATGTTGTCGGCAGTACGTGTTTTGACTATCTCAGCTGCTTTCGTGATTAGCAGGATTTCTGCATTAAAAACGCTGCAAAGATCGTAAAGTTTTTATGAGTTGTAAATGGCTAGTTCAACCAGTACCTTCTACCATCTTCGACCCGTCTGTAAATATATTGTTGAAGGTTCCTTCAATGTTAAGGAACACAGAGAATGTGCCTTTTAAGTAGGCACGCTGGGATTTGCTACATTTATTGGGGTTGATAGTATTCAGAGTCTAGTGACCTTTCTAAAGTCTTAAGTAGGAAGGAAGAAAGGCTAACTGGTCTATAGTATGACACGGCTTCCCGGCCTTCGGAATGAACGTCACGGTTACCTCTTTCCATAGACTTGGTATGTAAGATAAACGCAGACAAGCCCTAAAAATTCCCTGCAGAGTGACCAATGCTCGTTCATCGGCGTGTTGCAGCATATCCGATATTATGCCATCTAGACCTGAGGATTTGTAGGGTTGAAAGCTATTTATTGCCAATACCAGTTTTATGTAGCTTATAGTGTTATCTATCAATTTCTCCAACTTGATTCCAACCTATGTCGATGCGCACATCGTCGTTATGGTCCATAAAACCAGGGAAGTGGGTTGACGATAGAAGATCAAGAGTCTCTCCGCTTGAGTTCGTTCACGTCCCACCGCTTCGTTTAATACTACCTACAGATTTTGGATCTTTAGATTTTACTCTGCGAAATCTGGCCGATTCGATTACTCCTTCTATTGATTCGCTATAGCAGACCCAAGATCTAAGATTATATCTAAGTATAAAATCAAATATGGACTCACCTTTTGGTGCCACTGGGACCCCAGTGGAAATGATGGGCATTGGCAGCACATTCAATGATTACGTCAACAATGCTGCTCAAAGCCTCCAACAGGTTACATACATCCGGTCTAGGTGGGTCAGTAGCCTCATAAGGGAAATAGACGGCAGAGACTATTGGCGGTCCCTCCCCTATCTATCTAGTCTGAACACCATTGCTGAAATTTAAAAGAACGATTTAATTAAGTTCTTTTTAGCTAGTATACAGGTTCTTACCTTCTCTCCCGTGGAGGCGGTCAAAACCGAGTATTTGTTGTCGCTCAAACCAGTCACCTTATCTTTGTGGAAATACGGTTTCGATATGACCAATTTTTAGTCTATAAAAATTTCTGTTTGGTGAATAATTCACAACACATTAGCTATTCTGTATAATTTAATTTACAACATTTGACTGTGTGTGTTTTAACAAAAATCTATAATTTACTCACTTTTTTCTGTTTTACAGGGCACAACGCAACAGCAAGACACTCGCTTTAGCGACAAAGAGAAAAAACTCATGAAACAAATGAAATTTGGTGATTGTCTAAATAAACGTGTCGATATGTCCAAAGTTAAGCTGGACGTATTGAGGCCATGGATAAGTAAGAAGATCACAGAAATCCTCCACATCGAAGATGATGTTGTAGCCGAATTCGTCTACAACCAACTGGAGGAGGAGAAATTCCCATGCCCAAAGAAAATGCAAATTAATATGACTGGCTTTCTGAATGGACCAAATGCACGACAGTTCATGGGTGAATTATGGGCTCTACTATTGTCTGCACAAGAGAGTGAAACCGGTATACCGGCTGAATTTATACAGCAGAAGAAGGACGAAATTCTCAAAAGAGATGAAGAGAATCGACATCGTGAACGTAATGATCGTTCACGGTCGAGGTCACGTGGACGATCTCGTTCGAGATCCCGTTCACGTTCTCGATCTCGTGATCGTAATAGACGTGGTCGTGGTGGATCTCGAGGCTCCGTTGGCGGCGGCGGCAGTAAGGAACGCGCTCTAACACAAAAGGAACGAGAACAACAATTGCCACCGAGTACCTTGAGTGCCATTGAACAGGTGCGATCACATCTCTCGGCTAAAAACAACTCTTCCAATTCAGATGAACGCAAAAATAAGGAAAACAATGACAAGTCCACAAATAATACCGAATCTTCAAGAGAAACGGCAAAAAAGGATCGCTCACGTTCCAAATCTAGGGAGAAGAAGGCGGGCAGTAGGGACAGATCACCGCGCCGAGGTAGATCACCACGTAAACAATCTCGTGAGCGTTCCAAGCAACGAGAACGTTCGCCACGTGACCGTTCTTCTCCGTCACGTAACAAACGCAATGACTCGAGACGTGGATCCAGGTCACCGAGGAGGCGCTCGCCGGAGCGCCAACGGAAACGTTCACGTTCTAAAGACCGCAGTGCAAGACGACAAAAGTCACGTTCCGCATCACCGCCGAAACGGAGAGAACGCACTAGATCTAGAGATCGTAAATCTCGTTCTAGATCGTTGGATAAGAAAGCTCCAAAATTGAGTCCGACGCCACGTAAATCTATATCCCCCAGACGCAGACGATCCATAACACGGGATTCCAATTTAGCTCAAAATGGTCACGACAAAAAGGGTTCTGTTTCCAAAAATCCCCGCAATCCTTTCGCCACAAAACCTCTGCCACCAAAACGTTCGTTATCCCGTAGTCGCAGTCGCAGTAGAGTATCACACGATCGTAAACCTCGTTCACCGCAACGTATGTCTCGTTCAAGATCCCGTTCTCGGTCCCGCAGTCGATCGAGAACACATTCAAGATCTCGCAGCCGATCGCGTACACGTTCCAGATCCCGCATGCGTTCCTCTCGTTCACGATCGCGTTCACGTACCCGATCTAGATCACGATCCCCATCCCGCATTTCCCGTTCTCGATCACGTTCACGCTCTCGTTCGTCCCATATATCCAATCATAAGCGCAATAGTAACCGACGTTCTCGTTCCGCTAGTCGATCTCGTTCTCATGGAACGCCACAGGAGAACTTTGAATTGAAGCGCAATAAAAACAGTATACAAAACAAACGCCAATACCGTAATAATCGAGACTCTTCGGCCAGTTCTTTTGATATGGGTGGAAGAGGTGGAGGAGGAGGTGGTCCTGGAGGAGGGGGTGGGGGTAAACGTGGCGAATCACGTAGCCGTGGAGGACGTGGTGGTTATATGCAAAATCGTCGCCGTTCACCGCCACGTTTCGATGATCGACGACAACAGCGTTCCCGTTCCCGTCGCAGATCCCGTTCACCACGTCCAAGATCGTTTTCACGCAATCGCTCTCGGTCGCCAAGAAGGTAATTGAGAAGAAAATTCACCCAGATGATTTGTTGTTATATCTCTTCTTGTCATTTCCAGGTTTAATAATCGCAGGCGATCACCCCTCAATTTCCGTGGCAATAATAGAGGCAATCGTGGTCGTATGAATCAATGGGGACGCCGTAGTCCCAGCCGAGATCGTGGTGGTCCCATTGGCGGAGGAGGTGGCGGTAGAGGTGGTGGTATGATGGGAGGCGGTGGTGGTCGTTTTGATCGTCGCTCACCCCAGAGACGTTTTTCGAGAGAACGTCGCTCTTCTCCACGACAATATCGCAATTTTTCACCGCAAAAACGTTTTTCACCACAGCGGCCATCAAGAGATCGTCGCAACAATTCTCTCGATCGTCGTCCCCTATCACCAGTACGTGTATCACCACAACCTAATAAACGACGTTCGAAATCGACCAGCACAAACTGGGAAGAGGATGGACAATCAGATGAAGTCAAAATACCCGTAACGGTATTTGGACGTACTGTTGACTCGAGACTATCGCCGCGTAAACCCATTGTGAGCAAAAGGGAAAAGCGTGAAGAGAAGCGCGAGGAGAAACGTCGTCGGGAATCGAATAAATCTCGAGGCGATAGTACAGGTAAATCTCTAAGATTTTACGCGGCATTTCAGGGGTGGGATAGTAAACGAATATGAAAATTAAAAATTAACTTTATGGACTTTGTTAGATTTGAAATCCCTAGCCACTAAATGTTGGATATAGGGAAATTAATCATTTCATTTGGAAAATCTCAAAATATTCGTCAGAGATTCCTTCGCCAGAATAAAAATCTATTTTGTGTCATGTCCGTCTTTTGATTTGATGTTCATTGCTACTTTTGCATACTTGGTATTGACAACGGAATTTATCGGTCCATTTTTTGGTATAGCCCTCATATAATGTTAAACTTCTTTGCAGAAAACTGTCAATATGGGCTATGTTTTGATATAGCCCTATATCCCGCACTAATATCGGGATATAGGGCTATATCATATATTTATAGAGATTTCAACCATCCACAAACCTTTGACATGTCCGTTAGAATTTAGATAAATGATTGAAATTATAGAATTTTAAAACCAAATCCCTATGATATTAATATTCCCTTCTTTCCATTCTCTTTTCCAGGACGCTCTTCGGTTGAATATTGTGCTCCACCCGTTAAACTTATCGATTTGTCTCACGAAGAACAAAATGATAAACAAAACAAATCTAGACAAGAACCGACACCAATTAAGACTAAACCCGAACCTTCGCCGGCTCCGATAGAAACTACTAAACCTAAAAAATCTGCACCACTACCCCCTGCACGTCGTGATCGTTATAGCGTTAGCTTATCCAGAACACCATCGCCGTTCCTCAAACCACATGAACGCAAACAGGCGGCAGCATCAGCGGATTATTCAGCTGTGAACCAAAAGAAATCAACTGCTGCCGCAGATAAAAAATCATCTAGGAAATCTCGACAAGATAGCGAATCAAGTTCCTCTGATAGTTCAGATGATAGTGAAGATAGTGATGATGACGATGATAGCTCCGATGAGGAGGCGGAACAACAAAAGAATAAATTGCGTAAAGAAAAGGAGAAAGCTGCAGCGGCTGCAGCCCTTAAGCAGCAACAACAAAAGGAAGCCAGTAGTAGAAAAGCAGCTCCAGTGGTAGCCACCACCACTACCAAATCGAGTAAGGACAAAACGGAAAAACAACAGGAAACCGCTACAAAGGCTTCTTCTTCCTCTGCCCGTAAGCCACAAAGTTCATCAAGTGGCAGTGATTCGGAGGACAGCGAAGATGAGAGACAAAGACGCAAGAAGGCCAAACTACTGGCTGCGAAGAATTTTGCAAATAACAAAGAACCCGCCAAACCGGCAGCAACAACAAATCTTAGTAGCAATAACAATGATGATGAACGAAGAAGGGACAAATCAGGTGATAAACGTAAAGAATTACCACCGGGTACTGGGGAAACATCTGCCTCTTCGTCCTCTCACAAACGATCAAAGGCAAGTGCGGAAAATGTGCAAATTTCTTCCTCTAAGAAAGCTGTGCAAAAATCGGAACCCAAACGACAAAAATCCGATTCCGAAGTTGAGGAAAATGACAGAACAGCCGAGGTGGAAGGAAAGGGCAAATTGGGTTCACGCAAACGAACGCATTCACTGACAAGTCATAAGAAATCCAAGAATGATTCCTCCGATTCCGAGGATCAGCATACGGTAGCCAAAAAGAAACGCAAGAAGTCCAAAAAGACATCCAAGCGCAATTCGGACGATAGTTCATCCGATTCCGAGGAGGAATCGAGCAAAAAGAAAAAGCATAAGAAACACAAGAAGCACAGCAGCAAGAAGAGCAAAAAACACAAGAAACATAAGAAGCGTAGCAAGAAGGCGGCTGATACATCCTCTAGCAGTGATGACGACGATGCCTCTGAGGTGACATACAAAAAAGACGACAAAGCCTCCTCATCCAAAGCGGCCACCGCCACGACAGCTTCCCTATTGCTGGGTGGTGGTGTCAACGAAGATCTAGAAAAACAATTAAGAGAACGTGCTCTGAAATCTATGAAAAAGTTAGATTAGCTTAACTTTATGTGTTAAGACACACACACAGACAGACACAAACAGAACAAGGAGAACAGCAAAACAAAATGAATTTTGTTTTTTTGTATTTTTGAGACAAACAAAAATAAGTTTTGCTTTTGTTTTATCCTTTTAATTTTTTTTGTAAACATTTCTTAAGGACATATACATAAACTGTAAGCACCAACAAAGAATAATACATAATACAGCAACACACACACTCACGCATACACCTATCCAATTAATCATTACAGCCAATCATCCGTTCCACACACAGTGTATTGTGTGTGTGTGTGTGTTTATTGATGAAATGATAAAATTAAACTTTTTTTTTAAATGTATACCGCACACACACACACAATGCCAATACCACAGTTCAAATACAGAGTGGTGCAAAATTTATAAAGATTTTTTTGTAAAACTGAAGAACTAAATCGAAGATATTAGTCCAAAAATTATTTTTAATTTATGGTCGGTCAGCAAATGTATTCTCTTTTTTATACCCAAGACAATTAGTTACGGAAATTCAGAGGAGTTTCAATTACTAATGATTCTTCATACTATCCCCGAAATATATATACCTATGACTATAACCGATTCTCTTCATTTATTTAGGATCTGATATTTGTTATAGACATTTGAAATCATTAACACTTTTTGCATATGTCAAAATTTTACATCTCAAATCCTTCCTTTATCTCTTCTTTGAGGACAAAGTAGCGTTATATAAACATATTCTTTCCCAAAAAACAAACCTCTCTGCAAAGTCAAACTTTTTATATGCATTATAACAACAAAAAACAAAAAAAAACATTTGAAGAATTTTTATCCGTTTCTTCTTAATATTTTTTTCTTTCTTTTTTAGTTTTTTAACTTTTAAGTAGTTTCTTAAATAATTACCCAAGTAAAAAATCGTCTTTATATAAATTAAAGAAAAAACCAATTTAAAAATATTAAAAAAAAAAAACAAACAAATACATATACAATTTCGAAATATGTATTTATTCTCTATATACCCCTCTAAACTCCATTGTTTGAGCGTATGTAATTTAAGGAGTGTTAATTATCAATAATTAATATTAAAAATAATAATAAATTCAAATACATGTGAAAGCAAAACAACAAAACATGGATATAATACAAGTTCAGAAAATAAAATAAAAATTTGCAAATTTTCTGATAAACAAAAGAATAATAAAGATATAAGGAACCAAAATTGTTCGTGTTATTGTTTTTATTTATTTTATTAGTGTTGGCGGGTTTTTATTTATAGTAGTTTCCATTTTTCTCGGGGAGTGCATAATTTTTCTGACCCGTTCATGATTATAAATTCTATTGTTTTGGTATCTGCAATGATCCTTTTTAACTCAAAAACAGCAAATGAAATGCAATTGGAAACCCTAGTGATAACGATGCTTGCTCAATCAAATATCGCAACGGAATGTATAAATACAATAAGGAGGGAGGAGTTTGTCAGTTATGTGCTTTTTTACAAAGGAAAACGGAAGTTTTTGAGCATTCATTAAACCTATTTATTTCTTAGTGGATTGATTTTCCTTGCGATTTATTTTCATTATAGAAGAAATATGAAAAGAGAAAATAGCGGATTTGGTATTTATGATTGGGCTGATAATGAATAATACCATTATTTTTTCTCCCACACTAACAAAGTTTTTCGTAAAAAATTTAAGATTTTTATTTGCATTCTTAGATATTTTTATTTCGATTTGTCTATATGTGTTACTAATTGGACGATTTTATATATATATATATATATATATTTCTTTAATTTGTTGTTGGTTGGGGAAACAGTTATAATTGCCTTATTTTGAGAATTGTAAAATTTTTGCATATTTTTTATTTATTATTATTTTTTCTTTATTATTTATTAATTATGTTTAATTGTAGGCAGTTTATTGTTTATGTAATATATTTGTATGCCCTTACGAGGCTCTGATGTTACATTATGAATTAAATAAATAAAAACAAATGTTTTTTTGCATTTTGAATAATTGCAATTTTGCGGCAGATTTAAATCATCTTAATACTAATCTAAACAGCTAGGATTTAGTATTTCGATTTAGATGTGTAGTCTCATGGCACAATGAATAGTTAGTCCGTAGCGCAGCTGATTTCTTGATTAACAGTCAAAGTGGGTAATTTCTACTTGAATTCGATGTGCAGTTTTGCCAAACATGTGAAATATTATATGGAAAAAATTGACAGATGGTCGAGACAAAAACAAAGGTTTTTGTTTTGATACATCACCTTATTAGCTCTGTCTGTTAACTCGATATTTGGTAACAATTGTTACCAAATGTTACTAAATGTTGTCTGTTTACACAAAAATCCAGTAAAATAGAGTCAAGTGAGAGAGCAAGTTTGACAGTTGAACAACAACAAAGTTGCTGGAGTTTACTGATAGAATTTTATTCAGTAAGATTTTGCAACTCAGCCATTTTCTGATCAGCAGTTTTCTGACCATACACAAAAATTATTTAAAACATTTTTTTTAATTTGCAAAGTTCAATTTGAAATTAATTACAGAAAATGAAAGAAAATTCGTAAGTAACGCAAAGTTTCGTTAAATTAGAAACTAATTCCTTATATATTTTTAGGCAAATTCCAGATAGAGGCCAATGTATTGATGCAGGGAGCTTAAATGTTCCCGGGGAACATACCAGATCAATTTTTCTTTTATTATTCATTTTATTTTTAATATTAACACTAGAACGCCGAAGGCAGTCATTTCGACCGCTTTCCAATTTCAAGTACAAAAGCAACTGTGCATTTAATGACACTTTTTTTAAAATTTGGTGAATTTTTTATAATAAACGTAATTCTATGAGGTACAAAAAGTCACCATATTTAAAAAAAGTGTCATTAAATGCACAGTTGCTCTTGTACTTGAAATTGGAAAGCGGTCAAAATGACCGCCTTCGGCGTTCTAGTGTTAAATGCAATACAAATAATTGTGTTCGTCCTTTGTTTGTTGTTTATTTTGGCGCAAATCAAATGTTTTCTTGAATCAGCTGTTTATTTGCTAAATCTTACTAAATGTTGTCTGTTTACTTTTTTCAGTCATATCGCAAAAGAGAGTAAGAAAGGCTTACTCTCTGAACTAGAACTTACTGAATAAATGTTACTGGAAAAGTAACCAGACACACCTATTATTGCATCATGTGTAGTCTATTGCCATGTACAGACGAGCATTGTTCCCTCTCTCATTCGTTGTTCGACCCTTAATTATGAAGTAATTAGCTAGTTAGTTCCATGGTATAATTATTACAAGGTAGAGCACAGCAACCAACTGATTAAAAATCTCAAGGTGGCTTGTTCCATCAAATCAAAATACATATTATGTGTATGTGTGTATTGTTTTGAATGCTATGTAAAATAAATTCAAAATGAATTGAAATATATTCAAATTTAATTGAAATGAAAATTATGTTTTTAACATATTCGTCTTGAAGTAATTAATTGTAATGGATGTAATAAACATTTGATGGTATTTCCTACTGGATTTTGGGAAGAAATCGTAACCTTTCATTTATTTTTCGCGTTTTTAGTTTTATGTTGAAAAAATGTCAAATAAACAGAAAACACTGGTTGCGTATATTTATTTTATAACTTTTGCAGAAGAAGCCACACGTGTATAGTTGCTTTTTTGTTATTCACCTCAAGCTGCCCTACCTTGTATTATTGTACCATGGTAGTCTCATTTCGAAAATTTGAATACAACAGTGTGCTTTTTGTACCTGTGTACGTCAAATACAACATGAATTTTGTTGTTATTATTGAATGTCATTTAAACAAAAAAATGTTTTGTTTGCTTACGTTTTCTATTTTATTTTGTTCGTTCGAAAAAGAAAAGAAGAATATTCAATGAAAAACATCAAATATTTAACCGAACAGTGAAAAGTGGGCGTTAAGAACAGAGACGAAAACCAATATAAGCATTTTGAACTAACCTGCTTCTGTTGGTCAAATTGTACCGCATTTTAATCAAAAGGCAGTCCAACAGCCAGAATCAACGTGCCCACAGTTACTGATTGCACCTTCGATCAACTGATTTTGAAGCTGATCACTGCTTCTTGTTCCTAAAGGCAATTTTTGAACCTCACACCCGCCCAATGTTCGATCAATGGGATGTAAATTCAAACGCCCCCTGGTAGTTGTCCCAACTATGGATATACTAAAAAATGTATATAAGTTAACATAATAATGTTAAATTATCCCTTTAAGACAACTTACAATTTTTTCTTTAAAAATACATGTGGATCTTCTTTATCCCGTTCAAACTCTTTCAAATCTTCTATAAGAAGATCTGAATCTCACTGTATTGAGATATCCATCTCTTCTATAAGAAGACCTTCATCCCTTTTATAAGAAGACCTCCAGAACTTCTATAAGAAAACCTATAGCTTTTCTATAAGACCTCCAGGTCCTCCATGAGAACACCTTTAGATATTTTATAAGAAGACCCAACTGTCTTATATAAAAATATCTTTCCTTAATAAAAAACTTTGAGCATTTCTAAAAAATCAGTGTTTAAGGGAACCCCTCACCCATTCTTGATTTTAAGTTTTCAAGATTATCAATGGGCTGGTAAATCAATACCAATGCTTGTCAATACCAATGCTTTGTAACTTTGCAATATATATTTGAAGATTTAAAAGAGAAGTAAAATAATTTACAAAAACTTTTTGTTATTGTTTTTTTTTTTAAATTAAATTATAGACTTCGCTCAAATATTAACAAAATGGCTGACCTTTGGAAAAATATTTTTGGAAAATCATCGATTTTTTAACACAAACCAAGCTAAAAAATAAGGAAGATCTTCGCCGATTGGCTCTATCCTAGTTCATACGTTAACTATACACTCACAGAGAAACGTCCCTAAATTTGGAATCGATTGTGTTATTAGTTTTTTAGTTATCGAGAAAAATGCGTTTAAAGTTTGAGAATCACTCTCGCCGTCACTTTGATGCCGACACAATAAACCGACTATATCTTCAAGAGTTATTGAGATTTTCACTTGAAATTTTGTAGGGACATTCTTGAATTAGTGTAGATTCGAATTAAATTTGGACGCTAAAAACGACATTGCTAAATTCTTTCCTTTCTGAAAATATTTAAAGTTATTATTAACTGATTAAAGCCTGTTGAATGTATTACCTTTAGGCGACTGTCCTATCCTAGTTACAAAATTACCTTTTCCTGCTTCACGCGTATTCTGAAAACATTTTTTAAATAAATAAATGTCTTTTTCTGTTCTGTAACTGAAAAATATATCACATATACATATATATTTATACAGTATGTCAAAATCATTTTGACAATGAGGGGTTGTCAAAGTAAAAAAAAAATTGTCATATGTGAGCATAAGATTACCTTATTTGTTGTATCATGGGTTCATGATATAATTATTAAAAAATTAAACCTAATTTTCCATTCATTTTTCGCGTTTTTTACTTTTACTTCCCCTACTAATATATAGTTGTTTTAATTAAAACAACAAACTGGGATTCAGCCTGATTTTGCAAAAACAAAAGTTCTTAGAAAAAATTTAAAAAATGTATATGCTTTTGTTTTTATTTATTCTGACATTAAGGCCACCTTATATAATTGTAGCATGGTATATCCCATGGTATAATAATAGAAGGTAACAGCAAGTGTTGTTTTACAACAAACGATACAACAACCACATGGAAATTTGTTGTTGTAACTTTTACTAGTGTCAACATCTGGTCTGTTCCCGTACAGCAAGAATCTACTGGATTTTACTATTTTCTTCGATAACATAAAGTAAAATTTGTTATCGTAGTAAAAAGAAGTAGATTCTTGCAGTACGGGAACAGACCAATCATTTGACAGAAAAATGTAAACAAACAAATTATATATTTTTTGAAAAAGAAATATTTTCCTATCCTCAAAATAAAATTTGAAAAACATGATGAAAATGTATCAAATTTATAAATTTGTGGAAGCGATAGCCACATTATTCCTATAATAGAACCATTGCACTTATATGTGTAACACATATGAAAATACAGGGAATTGGGAGTTATTCAATGAAGAAAGATTTGCTTCCTCAAACTTTCCCAGCAGGCAGATTGAGTAAATTGAATACGGGAGCACATTTAATAAAGAACAATTTCAAATAGTATGCGTTCCCAAATTTTCCTGTTGGGTGATTTTTAAAAACATAATTTGTCAAATTCATATTGACACTAGCATTACATTGGAATCGAATCAGCTGGGTTTTGCTGTTACCTTTTATGTTGTACCATGAAGCCACAGTAAGAAAAAATTGTAATTTATATGTTGCTATGGCCTACCTTGAATAATTGTACCATGATTAGTATTATAAAATATAAATATACTTGTTATAAAGAATGTTAAGAAGCACAACATCTATAAATATGCAAATAATTGAGCTTGGTGATGTTATATAAGTTCATTTGCAGATTATTTTTCTTATTATTTAATAATTTCATTATTTTATTTATTTTTTTAATAATTACCAAATGTCTGTGTTAATAGTATTGTGTTTGCGGCCTATCAGTTTTATTTAAAACAACAACGACAACTAGATGTCGCCACAACAATGACAACACAAATACAACCCTGCCCTGACATTGCGGCCATTGAACAGTAATGCATAAAAACAAATGTCAAAATAGCTGTCAAATAACGCGACATCCGGCCGTCTTCCTTTCCTTTTTTTCGTATCTTACAAGATGGTAGGTTCTACCAAAATTATATGTGTTGAAAAATTCATTGCCATCCCCCAAAAAATAATGAAAATGTGTAAATAAAATATGAAAAGTGGCACAATGAAAGTATGAACAAAATGAAAATGTAAATATTTCCACATTTAAGTGTAAATACAAATGATTTGTGTGTGCAAAAGTGAATATAAACAAATGAATGGAATAAAGACAATAGACAAATGAAAGCGATGGCAATGTATTTTGTTTTGTTAATGAATGAATGATATCCTTGTGTTCCTGTTGCAAGGAGCCGGGGAATAAATGTGGAGAGTGGAACTAATAGATGTGTGTGAAATTTTTATGTTTATAGGCGCGAGGTCCTAAGAAGCACTTGAAACGTTTAGCCGCCCCAAAGGCTTGGATGTTGGACAAATTGGGAGGTGTATTCGCTCCCCGTCCATCCACCGGTCCCCACAAATTGCGCGAATCATTGCCTTTGATGATCTTCTTGAGAAATCGTCTAAAGTATGCCTTGAACGGTGCTGAAGTAACCAAAATTGTTATGCAGCGTTTGATCAAGGTTGACGGTAAGGTACGCACCGACCCAACCTACCCAGCTGGTTTCATGGGTAAGTAGCAAAAAATTGTGTGATGAATGGATACGATGGAGAATATTTGTTTTGACATTGTTGTTTTTGTATTTGCTTTGCAGATGTCATCTCCATTGAAAAGACCGGCGAAAACTTCCGTTTGATCTATGACATCAAGGGTCGTTTCACCATCCACCGTATCTCCAATGAAGAGGCTGCCGTAAGTATTGGATTATTTGTTGTTGTTGTAGTACAAAATTACATTTTAGTTTTAAATTTATATATTAAAGATAAAATTGTCGAAGATTTTGGAAGAAGATACGAAGTGAATGGGGTAGATAAAGCTTGGAATGGATTGCCGGCAGAATGTCAATACCTAAATTTGAGTCCATTTATTTATGTGTAAATTGAGACATTTTTCAAACTTCCGACTGCAAGCGTCATAGTGTCTTTATGAATAGTATATTCATAGACTTCCGGGTGTATTCGCTTCTGAACATACTTCTTTTATTAGGCTGAAGTTCATGGCCCTTCGAAATTTGGGATCAATGTATTTACAATTCGTTTAAATGATTTTTTTTTTACGTAGCCGGTGTCCATACGACAATGTCTTAAATCCCCAAACCCAAAGCTGGACACTCACAAAGAACGAAGAAGGGTCACCCATAAAAACTATTTTTAACTCAGCTGTTGACGCATTCAATTCTTCCAAAAAATATGTATTTTGGTAATAAGAACCTCAACCGCTTCAGAATTATTCCCATATCAATTTTAAAAGCAAACCGAAAATTGAAAATATGTTAAAAGCCATCAGGGCCACTAGTGGCCCTGATAGGAATAACATATGTAAACAATTTCAAAATTATATATGACCGGCCCTAAACTTGAATTTTTACTTTACTTTTGGTCTCATAAGTGGTGGACTCCATTGTAATCATTTTATGAATTCCAAAAACTTCAGCAAATCTAATATCCCAATATCATGTAACGGTTTTCAAAAGATCCAGGTTCGAAACTTAGGACCATAAGATATAACAAAAATTCCCTTTTCAGTCTCAATTCTCGCAATAAATTTCTATATATATTGTGGCTTTCCAACACCATATCAATGGATTCCTTTCAACCAATGTTTATGGTTTATTATACAAAAAGCCCAAAAGCAATTTTTGTAACGACGGTCATTGCTTTATCCCATAAATGATACTGCAATAACATTCACGTTCAATTACATTTAAAATGAAATAAAATCGTAGTACCCAGATATGGCTTATCGAAGACCATATTAATACAAATTTGATCAATTAATTGTGGTTCAAAACTAGGCCTAAAGCAATTTTTGTGACGACGGTCATTGCTCTACCCCTTTACCATGGTATTGTAATAACATTTACGTTCAATTACAAGAATTGTCAAATTCAACTTTTCCCTTTCAGTTTTTTAAACAAATTTATTAATTTATTAATCTTTTATTTTAGTACAAATTGTGCAAGGTCCGCAAGACACAATTGGGCGCCAAGGGTGTTCCATTCGTTGTTACCCATGATGGCCGCACCATCCGTTATCCCGATCCTTTGATCAAGGCCAACGATACCGTTCAAGTTGATATTGCCACCGGCAAGATCACCGACTACATCAAATTCGATTCCGGTAAGTTTTATGAAAGTCTCCAGAAACCCCACTTTTTGGCTTAATCGAAGACCATATTTAATGATTTAAAACATAACTCCACATTTTTATGGTTCAAAAGTAAGCCAATAGCAATTTTTGCAACACGGTCATGGCTTTATCCTAACCCCATGATAAGGTCATAACATTTCGTTCAATTACATTTAACCCCATCTAAAAATTTTCTTTTTTCAAATTTTCTACTTCCCCATAATAATGATAATAATTTTCTTTCTTCATTTTCCAGGTAACTTGTGCATGATCACTGGAGGTAGAAATTTGGGTCGTGTCGGTACCGTTGTCAACCGTGAAAGACATCCTGGTTCCTTCGATATTGTGCACATTAAGGACACTCAAGGCCATGTTTTCGCTACCCGTTTGACCAATGTCTTCATCATTGGCAAGGGTAACAAGCCCTACATCAGCTTGCCTAAGGGCAAGGGTGTTAAATTGAGCATTGCTGAAGAACGTGACAAGCGTTTGGCTGCCAAGAAGTAAACTAGTTTTTTCAAATTGAAAGAAACACGCAAGAATGTTTTTATTAGTTTACGTTTTACACACAAAATGAAAAAATACCATTAAAAAAACAAACAAAAATTACATGAAATGTTTTTTTTTGTATTATTATTTGTAATATAAATAATAGGTCAAAAGTTGAAAAGTTAGGGGATCAAAATTAACTATGCCCAACCCTTTGTGGCCCGAATTTTTGCCCGTGACAATAGAACTGTGCACAGATTTAATGTAACTCCTAAATTGGATATGATATTAACAAAATTTGACGTCGCTACATTCTTGCATTCGGGAGGTACAGAACCTTTCCGGAAAATAAAAGTCCAATATCAACAAAAGTAAATGCAATATAGACGAAAAAACACTTAGTTATTTTATAGGTTCTTTTTTACAAGACTCAAGAACAATTTAGAGGGTACAATTCGTACATTTCGAATACGAAGCGATTTAAATATTTTGGACTGTATACACAATTTGGCACTCTACATATTTTTGCACTCATCAATGTATTTAAAAGCGAATAACTTAACCAAAAGTTTGATTTTTTTAGGTTTTTACTTAAGACAAAACATGATCGATAAATGACAGTATTGTGTTCTGTCGCCAAATAGAATAAGAACGATAAATGCCACTTGACAGTATAGATTGATAAGTCTGAGTGGGAGTTCAGTTAATATTGTTGTTTTAATTGTCATGGGAACTGGATATAGACTTGAAGATATAGATTAGGTGTTGTAGCAACGATACGTACTGTTGCGTTTGGAACCGAACATGGTCTCGAACTATAGCTTATAAAAAGTGTTGTCCTGCTGAACTTAACGGTGTCACGACCGCGGCCAAAAAATTGACAAATCCAAGTACATTTTTTGTCTATACAAAGAGATTCAAATCTGACAATTTTTTGGCAAACTACTTTTATGATCTTAATTTCAAAAAATGGGTACATTTTTTCTGGTGCTCAAATATTTGAATTTATAAATTAACGGTTATTGTAAAAGTATTTATTCTGGTTGCTGTGGATGAAAAAAGTAGGATTATTTGTATTTAAATAGAGACCGTATGATGTTTGCAGTTATCCACACCCGTAGAACTTTGTTCATATTATTTGTAATGCAAATTTTGAAATAAGTGGAGCAAAACACGTTTTAATAAATTGTCATTTCATACATAACCAACTTAAGGGCAAGCCTGAATTCTCGTATGTGTTTTCCCCCAAGACATATATATTACGGCATTTACATTAATAGTACGTTTACATTTAACCGTATTTTTCGGTTAATTGCACATCACAATTTGCACAATTTTTTGTTCAATTAACCGAGGAACCAATTATCCGATACCCGCTTAATTGAACTGTTCAATTACAGAAATCACCCATAATTGGGCGAAATTAATTTTAATTGGACAAACTTATGGTCTTTCACATACAACTTACATAAAAACTGAAGAAAATATATATGGAAGCTATATCTAAATCTGAACAGATTTACACGAAACTTAGCACAAATCATTCTAGACTCAATTCAGTACGCTATGCCAAATTATATAGGGGCTTCGGTACACCAAATACATAAAATCGGACGAAAGTATATATGGGAGATATATCTAAATCTGAACCGATTTTCACGAAATTTAGCACACAGTATCCTAGTCATAATTCAAATTTCGTAAAAATCGAAAAATATATAGGGTCTTTGGTGCACCATTTAGATAAAATCGAATAAATTTGGTGTACAAAATTGCATCTAAATTGGATTATAAATGCGACCTGTACTTTATATACAATTTAACATTAATAGACGGACGGACATGCATAAATCGACTCAGAAAGAGATTCTTTGCATATTCTCAAAAGGAACCATGGGTCTGTGAAAATTCCAGATTATTTTTCAATAATAATGCAATTAACCGGTGAAATATAAGAAGAAATTTATTTTTGATGACATGAATTTGGAACCAATTAAACGGGAAAATCAATTCACAGGGTTTAATTATCCGAGGAAATTTACTTGTGTTTTCGTATGCAATATTTTTTTGTCTAATCATGTGGTTCAATTAAGCGGGGAAACCAATTAACCGTAGGGTCTATTAACCGAAAAATACTGTATTTGCTTGAATCACATATGGATCTAAAAAAATAATTCTCTTTCTCCTGACTATAGCATGAACCCATATCAATTTGCTTTTAATTCATGTTTTCCATTTTTTCTGAAAATATTGTTGTCTTCATACTGTTACGTTCTTGGATTTTACTTAATCCCGTGTAGACGTTGTTTTATTTCCCGATACAGTTCGTATCAAATAAAACGCGGGTTCTTTCAGATTACGATTATTACAATGACTTTATTCACACAACTTTACTTTACACGACGGTTTCAATTCGCGATCTGATTCACAACTGACTAACTGTCTTTCCATTTCCCCTATTTATATGAGCCTTGCTTGTCGCTACAGAAGTTTCTAGACGATCTGGTAACACCTAGATCACGAACAATCTACCAATGCAACACACATACAAACTTACATTGAGTGAACAATAACAACACATACAAACTTACATTGAGTAAACAATAACAACACATATACAGGCGAGGGGGTGACAAAGAAAGAGGAATTAAGCGATCATCAATGATGACGTTTAAGAATTGTACGACAATAACAAAATAGAGAATGGAAGAGGAAATGGAAGGATGTAGAAAAATCTATACAGTAGTTGTTGTTGTGAAGTTATTCGAATAAACTGCGTAGTAGAAATTTACGTTACAATTCAAATTCTTAAATTAACGGAATTCATCTAAATTAATCTAAAGTTATTTTCGTAACAATACATTTTTATATTTTCTAAATTCAAATGTCACATATGTATATGTAAATAAAAAATTGGGGAATTTTTGTTTGGGTTTCCCCACATTTGTTTCTTGTTTTGCACACTAATTAGAACCAAAGGAAAAAATGAATATTGCATTACGAAGATAACAACATTTACATCCTGCTGCATATATAAAAACTAGACAATTTGTTACTTTTCATTCATCATTTTCAATTTTACTGAAAATGTTTGAAAATTTTATAAATATTTTCCAGCTGTCAAAATTAATTTATTTTCGATAAATGCTTTCAATTGTTAGGGATGGACGAATTTCTTTGTTGTTTGGAGAGTGATTCGAATTGAACTACTTACAAAAATAGGTGTTCGCTCAGAAAAATTTGTATGGGGAACTAAGTAATTACTTCATAATTAAGGGTCGAACGACGAATGAGAGAGCGAACAACGCTTGTCTGTACATGGCATTATGAGGATTTATTTGGCATATAGTCAAAGGAATTGACAATCTAAATCCACTGGGTTAACCAAATCCGGTACAATGTAAACGTACTTTAAGGTCGGCCAGTAAGCGAATTCACAGAGAAAAGTTAAGTTTAACCATAGATACAGACGACGAAATGCTGAAAAAATGCGCGGTCAAGTGACTCAAAATTAAAAACTCAAAAATCTTTAAAGACGTTATTTTTCTTTAATGTTTTTGTCTGAGGATATAGATTTTGCTTAAAACTAACTATGTTTAGTGGCATTCCAAATTAAAAGGTTCAAATATTGAAGTAAATCATCATTTAAAATTGAGTAGCGCATTCAGGAGACTCAATTCAGAGAGGACTGGTGAGAGCATTTCGTCGTCTATATCTTCATTAGTCTATGCTCAATTTTTTGTCGAAACGAAAACTAAAGTTCGGTTCCAGAACCTAAAAGAATCTACTCATTTTACATGTTTTGCAACTGTTTAGTCGAAAACCGCTGGTAAAACATTGACTCAAATTTAAGAGAGCACAAAACAAAATGGCGTTCTCTTTGAAAAATGGTAAACAGGAATGCCTACTTCTGATTGGCTGTTATTTACTAAATTTACGTTCCCGAACTTTTCAAATTATTTTGTACTATCAGAGCAATTTTGAAATGTTTCCCTTTTACTAGATTTACTATTAAAAAAGTACTGGAACAGACCATAATTGTTTCACTTTTAAATAAAAACACAGCACAATTTATAATTTCGTAAGATAATTTAATTAAAAATGGCCTTGAAATAATGTTTCACAAAGACGGTATAAATTTAAATTGAATAGTATGTTGACAAAATATTAGCATTTTCGTTTTGACGTCTAACATAATATTGTATGGATGTATAGGTTTCAAAATATGATTTGACAGCAAACCTTATACTCAGCCATTAAGGCTATTAAAAGTTATTTATTTTTTTATTAAAAAATGGTTAAAAGTAAACGATCGTATATGTTATGCCTATCATTAAACCAATTATGGAGACAATATGTTTTAAAATACTGATTTTACATGGTTGCATTTGAATTAGATTTGGTAAGTCTGCTTTTCCACAGGCAAATTTTTATTTGACAAATACTGAGTTTGTAGGCGAGAGGGGTGTGACGAAGAAAAACAAAAATTTGCTTGTTCAGAATTTGCCGTACTAGCAAATTCTGCTTTGCTCTGTTCGTTGAAAACAATTTTGTTGACATTTCCTTTTGAACCTATTCGCTTTACAGCCGGCTTTTGTTTACAAACCTGTTGCTTTAATTTGTGCAAGTGAAAATTTTTAATTTTTGCAATTTATATAATAAAATATATAAAAAATAAATAAAATATTAAAAAAAAATCTTTAAAATGCAAACACTTTTGATTTTTATTTTCTTTCTTTTGTATTTTGATTCGCAAATTTGGCAAAGAAAAATTTGCTAATGGAAAAGCAAGCGAAAATTTCAAAAGAGAAAACAAAAAATTTGCCAAATAAAAATCTGCCTGTGGAAAAGCAGACTAAGTTTGAAGATTCTATTTATTAAATACATTATTTAGGTCTTTCTTTTAAAAATTATTATGTGGAGACATGGTACAATTATACAAGGTGGGGTATCTCTACGTTATGGCCAATAAAGCCACAATATGAAAAAAATTTTGATTTATAAGTTGTTATGGCCTAGCTTGAATAA